AAATTCCGGTACAATCGAATTCAGATACAAAAGAATTCATCGCATGCTAATGAAACCGGAGAATTCTCTTGAGCAATTCCACAAGAATTCCTTCAAATCCCATGAAATAAACTATTTTAATGAAAATTCACCGATGGCGAATTATTTATTAATTATTTATTTTTCCACCAAAAATTTCCTTGAAGAAAATTTACCCTTTGCCCCAAGAAAAATTGCCTGGAAATTATTCCTCAGTAATACCTTCTAAATCTAATGACCATGCGAATAATCCCGATGGGTGTTAAACAATTAATTATTTTATGAAGAATTCTGTAAATTCTATCGATTGTTATGAGATTGTTTATTTAATCAATTTTTAACAAGTTGAATGATGCTATTTTAAAAAATTATAGACGCTCATGGAAAATACGTCAAAGATGTGATTATAATTGAATTATTAATGAAGAATTAATTACGGATTAATCATTGTTGTCTCAATGATGATGCACGAGCGGGAAATTCTTTTATTTCGATTTTAATCGAATCGCACCGTTCCGCGAATTTCAAGACAATCGACTTTTCAAATTCACTGGCCGTTTTAAATAAATGATTTTGATTTTATGTTATTATTGTTATTGCAGCTTGTTGATTTAAAATTGATTTAAAATCGTATAATTTTTTGATTGCGCCATTTTTTTATTGCGATTATTTCCGGTCTAATCATAACTGTGTGTTATTTATAGCGGTAATCCAAAATTGTAAATATCCGGATGAAAACAGAATTTTATTCATCTTCGGGTTTTCTTCCCCTTGGGAATCGCCTCAAGATAAGGGGATCCCGCGACAAAATATCGAACGACCTTTTTACCGCGAATTTCCTAATCTGAAAATCCGGGGAATCCCGGGTCCTCCGGAATCATCAATTACGGGAGAAAAGGCCGTGAAAATGTCCCTCGATTTTTCCTTTGGATCCGGCAATCTATGAATTTTCCTCGCCTTACAAAATCAAATCTGAATCCCAAAAAAATAATTTATTTCCGAATTCAATCAGCCGCTCTCGTTCAAACTAAATCCCGAGATTTTTTCATTCCTGTGCGCAGATAGGAATCGGGCTGTCGATGCCGAGGAGACGATTTGAAATCGATTTGAAACGAGGCCATTCGTCTGGCGAGAGACCCCGAGTGAGAGATGGAAAAGGTGAAAAGTGTGAGAGAAATCCATTGGAATATCGGATTTTTCACTAGACGATGTTCATATTGTTATAAAAAAACTTATTATTACAACTAAGTCAAAATTTTTCTCAATCTGGCGAGTATTTTTTAATAAACATTAATGCAGGGTATTTTCTTATTAAACAGCAATTATTCATTCAAACATATTAATTAATTAAAATTAATTAATCAATTAAACAATTATTTCTTTCTCAGTATGCGTGAGAATTTTTTTTCTTTTAATTCTCCCGTTTTTTTAAGAAATTTCATTGAAGCATTTGATTGAATTTATTTATTGAATTATTTAAAGACTCATATTGAATTTCATCAATTTTTTTTAGTAATTGTTATTGTCTTCCTTGTATGGAAATTTATTTGTTAATCATCATTTTTAATTCGTAATTGATGGGGTTAAATACAGAAAATGTTGAGGATAATAAAAAAATGTTTCATAGTAAATTAGAAAGGGGAGATGAATTGACAAGAATTTCTGTGAAGTTCTCACTAATTTAATATCCACGACGTTCCTTTCTGCAGAGAATTTTCTGGAATGAAAGGAATCTCTTCAGACATATTCATGCAGCAGCTGGCGCGATTAATATTTCAAAAGAATTCGCGGCTAAATTCGGTTTCAAAAATTGCACCTGAAAAATCGTCAAAGAATTTATCTGAAATTCAAAAAGACCACAGACTCACATTTTATTTATTCTACCCTTCACTATCAATAACAAATCACCAAAACTTCAATTATCGATAGAAAATTCGCAGCAATGAATGCAATTAGTGAAAAAATAAATAATCCAAATAATTATTTCACCAATTTTTCTAAAAAATCATTTATCAAAAAACTGTGAAAGTAATTGATAAGTACATTTGAGTTATCCTATTCCGAAAGGATACGCTTGACACGCTGGACACAATCGATTATCTCGAAAATCTCGAAATCATGACGCCACGATTCCTTATTGGTCGACCTAAAGTGGCGCGAGATTACAAACTCGTAACTCTTATAGAAATCGTTTCATACCCGCGCCCTGGCACGCGATACAGATTCTCGTTGTAATAATTAATCATAAAATCTCATTGGATAATTTAAATCATGCCTCAAGACACTCATTTATATCTCAATCCATCAACAAAAGCTATTACCCCCGTTGCCAAGATAACCCGAGACACATGAATCACCTCAATCCCTCATTGAGCTATCGCTTCGATCCCTCGAAGATTCCACTTTCCACCCGCTCCTAAAAAACTCTTTGCCAAAAATTTCCGTATCTCCCCCGATCTATTCGAAACTGAGAGCCATAACAAAAATCCCTGAAATTCCATTGATAGAATTTCCCCAAAGGAACTGAACCACCAGAAGACCCATTCGTTTTCCTTTACCCAGTGTTTACGTTTCCACCCCTAGACCGTAATTTCTCCTCGGAATGTCCAGCATCCGGTGGGTCAGAGGGTAGACTAAAAAAATGCTAAGGGGTGTCGAGTCCAGTCTCGAAGGAAGTGCACATAAACTCAGGAATGTGCAACCCTCTGGCCCCTGATGTCCAGCTGACCCCACTCATCTTTTCTATCTCTTCAAGAACTTCTCTTACCCATTCTCCTTTTTTTTTTCTCTTCCTCTCGTTTTCATTTCAACTTCCGTCTCGTTTTATCTCACCCACTCGTACATTCTCTCATCTCGTATCCAATCTATCCTTCCACCTGCTGCACGCAACCATGCTCCGTCAGGTAGAAAATTCGTAACGCCCTGGTATGGCTAATGTTGTTGCAGTTTTAGGAGTTGTTTTTTCAGGGTGTGAGGGACGAGATCGTGTCCAGGAGTCGTTCGTCTTACTTTTGGATTTGCGTTCAGTTCAAACGACTTAATGGTGGTCATGTTGGAAGTGCCAGAGGATATCACAACATATTTTAGATTAAATTACTGGTGGAAACTGAAATAAAAATTCTGTGAAAATTAGACACTCGCCGATAATCTTATCAATTCAACTAATTTAAATTGATAATTTAGTGGTGATAAGTAGAGGACCTTGAAGTCTAGGTGCAGAATAAAAATAGATTAATCAAATTAATCAAACTTTCTATTTGGGAAGATTTTGTTAGTAAAAATAGACACGGGGACAAACATCAGATAAAAATTGTTAACTCAGACTTTTTAGAAAGGATAGGGTAGGTTTCGAACGTTAATATCCCCGAATTTAAGTGAGATATCAACATTTAGCTGGGAACCTCTTTTGTAGAGTGAAATTCGAGCTTCAATAAAGGTATCAACGAAATTTTCACCAGCTTTCTTAGATTCACGGAAAATCCCCCGAAAACTTCTTCATTAACTCAATCCATTCGTTATAAGTTGCATTTTTCTTTCCCGCAATTTATTTGATTATTCCAACCCAAAAAAAAATTGAATTTAAATTCATAGAATTACTTTTCGATTCGAAACCAATAATTTTCTCTCAGAGTGTAAAAAATTGAAAGCAATAAAAATCAAACGAAATTGAAATCCACTCATCGATTGTTGAGAGTAAAAAATCGAAAAAATAAAAGAAGAAGGAATGATTGATTGCTTTATGTATTAATGGAAAAATTTCAATTTGAGGGGCAAATAGCGTTTAAAAACTCAATTGACTGGTCCCCCAGTCATTACTTCCTCCAAACAATGATTTCGTTGGAGCCATTAGAAAAATGGAGTTTGAAGCGCTATCGTTCACGCGCGGCTGACTCCACTCTGATATTTTCACTGGAAAAGGGTCGATTCCCTTTGCTGAAGCCTCAAGGCACGGTTGGTTAACCAACGAACGTCCACTTGGAAATTCCCTGCCGCAGGCTAAGATTTTCAGTTCTCCATTCTCCCTTCTTTTCATTGGGAGAGATTTTGAGGGTGAAACAGTGAGGGTGCGGGACAAGGAGAGCATCTTCATTCCGGTCAGAAGGAGCACTGATTCTTTGAAAAATTGCCAGCTAAGCCCTTAACCACTGTATTTTTCTACCCTTGACGCACTTCTATCTCGTCGCCTTTTTTCCCAACACTTTTGTTATTTTTTTTTTTAAGAGAAAGTCTTTCTGTACTCAGGTATCCTTTTTTTCTGAGTCTCCTTCCTTTTTATCTTCCTTCCTTCCTTCCTTCCGACATCACCGGCCGTTCTCACCCTCATTCCCGGACGCCACTCGAGATGGCCCCAAGTTTTTTTCTTTTTTCGATTTTTTTTTCCCTTGTGAATTAGGGGTTTTCCTTTTTTCCGCAACTGGCCCACTGGGAGAACTCAATACAGAGACTAGGGGAACTACGAAAATTCAAATGAACTACGAAATTCGTTTATCATATTTAATGATCGCAGACTTGGGAGGGGGAATTAGTGAAGTAGAAGAGGTTTATTTCAACAACCAAAATTGATTTTAGAGAATTTGTGTGATCGAGGGATCGTTTGAGGGAAAATTTTGGAAGGCATCAATTTGATTTTGATTTAATTTTAAATCCGAACAAAATTGGGAGTTGAAGCCTTCGAAAAAGGGAGTCATTGTTAAATCGAAAACGTAATTACGGAATTAAATAAAAGAACTTTCTGTTTTTAATTTTTTTTCTTCATTTTTTTCTCTTTATAGAGATGAAGTGGAATTTACAGGCAATACATGATTTACGTATCAATTACAACGCATGCGCGAATTACACTTTGCATATCCAACACAAATTATAACAAAAAATAAAAACTCGTGGAACAATAAATCGTTATCAATTGAATGTTCAAACCATTTCGATTATCCCGTATTTCCCATTTTGTAAAAAAATATTAAAATAAATGACGAAATGCATTTAATTCAAAATTCAGAAAGTAAAAAATACAATGAAATCTTCAAAAATCATAAGTTGCCATTGAAAAATAAGCTGTCCTCTGCCCAACGATAATTTACTGAGAATAACAAATGGATTAGTAAAATTTTTAAATCGGCGATTGATGATCAGTCTTGGAGAGCCATAATTTTAATGATAAAAAATAAATAAAAATAAAAAGAAGTTGAAGACATTTAACACTTAGAGAATACCGATAATTGGATTGTCTGATCAATACGGCTCGTTACGGCTTTTCTCAATTGTACATTCTCTGGGAAACGAATGCGGTATTTAATCACCCATCTCGATTCTACTCAATGCTTTCTTTGCGCTTCATTTTCAAAGCTTTTCTTTTATGTATCTCGAGATACGCCCGTTTTATTTTACGATCGTTTCTCTCTTCTAATGCCTCCGAGCAAAATAGCGGTTTATGTACGGACATATACGCATGACAATCCGATAAAAATGAGTCACTTTTAATGCCTCAATTTTTAGACATAAATAATTAAATATGATTTTTAAATTATGACGATGGTAAAAATTTCATTGTAAATTAATTGAAAATTAATTGCGATAAATATAACGAATTATAGGAAGGGTCATAAATTTTTGTTTTTATTGCACGTGCACTAATTAAGAATGCATTCTTAATTAGTTGAATTGTCAGTTTTTCTGGTTAGAAAAATGCAGAGAAGGTAGAGTAAAAGGAAACATGTAAAAATATTCTTTTCTATCTTGAAAAATATCTAAGAATACCTCACGTCTGTGTTTATAGTTTATTAGTCTCTCTCCTAAAATTTAGTCGGAGATTTTTCCTCCAGCGTTTTCATCGTGATGAATTAGCAATCATAATAAATTCCGCCAACTTGACCCATTTTTTCCGTTCTATCCTACTGGCAAATTGTTTCCTCAGAGTCCCTCCCACCCACTCGCCTCAATCCAGAAATTCTCGGAACATCAAATGACATCACACACTCCACTGAATTCATACGGAAAATTGACGATGAAGATCCAGAGCTTTTAAGATTGGTCCTTTCTGCTCTCTCCTTTCAACAAAGAAATAAAAAATCATAAAAAAAAGTCCACGAGCTGTACCGTCACAAAGTATATACGCGAATTTGGCGAGGTAAAAACCCCGAAAAAGACTTGGAATGAAAAAAAAAGAAATATCAGAAAAAAATTCGTTTGAGTATAGTGCAGGAAGGGATTTCAGTACGCAGATAGGATGATATTTTTAAGATGCAATTTCACCGCAAATCTGTATCACCATCCCAGGAGGTAGTTTCGCATCCAACCTGCAACAGTTTCCGGCATCCCAGCTTGTGAAAAGATGCACCCCTCGAGCCAAAAGCAGAGGCGAAAATCGTGGGCATGGTTTTTTCAGTACTGAGGACAGAAAAACAACTCGAGGAGGAAATGTGCGTTACTTTGCTGAGAAAAACACATGACGGAATGAGAACTGAGTGGATGTAATGATGTGGTATGTATGTAGCATGTGGCGTCAAATATTTCACAAGAGGTACTTTTGCTGAAAATTACGTCATTACAATTGCAGACTGTTAATTATTATCATAATTACGAGGGCTTCTAAGAAATGTAGCACAACAATATAGCACAAGGATTAAGATTTAAGGTTGGCTCAGGGTTGGCCCAATGTCGGCTCAATATTGCCCCAATGTTGGCTCAAGGTTGGTCTAATGTCGGCTGAATGCAATGCAACCAAAGATTGAATTTTAATTTAAAAAATTAATTTTTTTGTAGTTTCCTGCCTTTCGGGATATGTCATCCCCATCCGTTCTCGCAATCCATCATCCTCATCATCACTAAAACTTCAAAACCCCATGACGTGGACCACGGATCCAACTATATTAAGTTGGCAAGCTCACTCACGATCAGACGATAGCTGGAGTAATACCCCTAGACGGGGATGTGGGATGAGGTCTCGGGGACGATAGCAGCTCCCACTACTGCTGGAAGATTAGACCGATTGGGATTAAGGGATTACAAGATCCCACCGAGATTGGTAACGATCGACGAAAAGATTCGGAGACTCCCAAGACCTCGGCATCAACCGGTCCCTTAAGCAGATGAACTGCATGGGTCAAACGTTCTAGTACATATTTTCCTTCGTCCATTATATTATGCTAATATTTATCTTCACATCATTCCACTTCGTCTATATTCATTCAAATAACATCATGTTCAACACCGCGGGTTTATTCAGGCAAGACCAACAAGTGTTTTCAATGTCGAATAGGAAAAGGTGCGCTAAATTTTTCTGGAGCTTCTGGAGGCATTCCGACCGGGAGATTAGAGAATCATTGCAGCAGGTGTTTTTCGTACGGAATCCTGGAAAAGTATGTGCAGGATTATTTTAAGACTCACGTTGTGGATCCAGATGAGTTTTGATATCGCCGGATTTGCGTTAATGTGACACTCGAAGTAAACGTCGTCTCCTTCTTTGATGTCCTCTGGGGTGAGGGTTGATCCCAGGCTCAAGGACACGATTGGTGGATCTGGAACAATCAATTGATTTGGATTAGTTTGATATTGGCGAGCCATACAGATCAAGTTGGGGACTCAGGATTTTCATAGGCAATTATATATTTATATATTTATATTTCATTTTCAAAATGGAGGAATATTATATGAATAAATTATTCGTGTCCGTAAAGCACCCTTTCTATTCGGTTTGGGGGTAATTTTTTAATTTCTCTCTTTCTTTCGTATTAAGGTAATACATTGTGTACTCATTTCAAAGATGACTAGATAGCCTTTGAAAAAATACACGAATTACGTGATTCCTACCATTTTTCATGGAGCTATTACTTTTCGAACGGGAAAAAATGATTTCCATGTTTTCCCTAAATTTGCGCTTTGATTAAATTATTCTATATTTCCAGAAAAGATACATAGGAATATTTATATATCATTTTAATGAACTTTTTTTGTTCATTGAAACTGCATTATTTGTATTCGATTTAGTTTCGTTTTTGTAGAGTTATTGATTTTTTTTTCATTTTTCACCGTTATGCCACCCTCTAAAATTCATGTTTATTGCTAATTATCATAGCATTCGATATAATTTATGCAAACATATTCTATATGTTAAAGCCTCAAAAAGCTTCTTCTTCTTCTTCTTCTCCCGTTCGAATTTCCCAATTCCATCGATTCGATCAAGAGTTATCGATGATAATATATCGCATCTCTCATATCACTTAAAAAAAAATTATTCTCGTTAAATAAAATCGCTAATAACCTCTGCCATTATTTATTATCCCAACCATCTTCCCCGTTCAAACGTTCCATGCAATTGAAACCTTTTAGTCGATCGGTCCGCAAAGTAACACTTTACGGCCTAGTATAAAAATCCAATTTTTCTCATTAAAAAAAACGAACGTCAAGACTTATTCGGGACTTTCCGTACGCAGTACAATAAAATACTCATTTCAAATCTAAAAAAAAAATGGTACCCAAGAATTGATCTCTTCATTCCGACGATTCTCCATGAAGCGAGCCGTGAAAAAATGGTCTCACCAGTTCTCTCAACCTCTCAAAATCCCCTTTTACTCCACTCGGCTCGTCATTTTCGTAACATCGTAACACGTGAATTTAAGCAGGCACAACGAGGCGAATAAAACAGTTGAGTGAAGAGGAGGGTCTGCCAGCGGCATCGTCGTCACGTCGAGGGAATGATAAAGGACCGTGAGATACGTTTTATCGTACAGAGGTTGGAGACCCCTCGTAGAATTTCATCAACGTGATAGCGGCTTAGGTCCCTGTCTATACTTTTACTTTTTTTATTATTTTTCCCACTCTAGGCTCTTCTGCCTTGTTGAGCTAACGCTCTTCCTTCTCGCACTGTCAGAAAGTATTTGAATTTCTTTCCCCACGCCTTCCACCCCTTCCACCTCTTCCACCCCTTCCACCTCTTTCGCCCCTTCCACCTCTTTCACCCCTTCCATCCCTCTTTCCCCTTCCATTCCTCCCTCCCTCTTCTCCTTCTTCTACCTCGTCTCCTTCTTCTCCCTCTTCTCCCTCTTCACCCTCTTCTCCCTCTTCACCCTCTTCTCCCTCTTCTCCCTTTTCTCCCTCTTCTCCTTCTTCTCCCACTTCTCCTTCTTCTCCCTCTTCTCCCTCTTTTCACTTTTCTTCAACTTTATCGTAAGTTGACGTCCGCTGTTTTCTCACCTCTCGACTCTTTATCAGAAATTTTTCTGTTGACGTACAAAAGTGACTGGGACTCTATTCTGATCAGAAATCCCATTCATTTTTCGTCTCAAACGATTTTTTCATTCTGCTATTCTACTGGATCGGCAATCCCACGATGAAGACGATGTGACAGTAATCTAAGTCGAGGTACTCGATGCAACTTCTCTCTGGAGTATGGATACCGTAAAATTGAAAACGTGACGCAACGTAATTTTCTGGGGGTGTGCAAACAGACCAACGAGCGATACCGTGGGGCAGTTGGTTCATTCTCTTCTTGGGAAGTTTTACCGTGCTCAAGAAATTTTACTGCGAATTTTTTGCTGAGTGTTTGAGGGGGTAGATTAATTTTTTAATGATGAAAACACTTGTGGAACGATTGGATCCGGGGAAAATTGATTTCGCTGCTGAAAAATAAATGTTCAGTCTCTCACAGAATAATATCGAATGGTTCTACGATTATTTTACAGCTCTATTTCCGCTTTTCAAATTGATCTAGAATAATTATCCGTTGAAAATCAATCCGTAGATGTAAAAACCGGATAATTGATACAAAATCAAAACGTTACAGCTCATTTTTTATAATTAAAAATAATAAAGCCTTAAATAAATATTTTGTGTCTTTATCTTTCAATAATTTTAATTATTATCAACGATATTATTCAGAATTTTTAATAAAACATTCCTAGAGGTCTCACTGCCTTCTAAAATTTATTTCAGGCCATTTTACTTTCATTAAAATTCCTGCTCTCGGATGGAAATCAGAGCATAAAATTTATGCAGTTATGCATCATTATTAAATGAATACTGACAAAAAAAGGATATAAAAAAAAGTAAAAAAGTAAACAAGTAAAATTCTCAGCGCAATTCTTCACTCATCGCTCCATATTCCTCCCATAAACTAAACAAAACCGGTTAATTAATGAAAATAAGGCTGAAAAACTAGCCAACTCCCCCCGGTAAATTTCAATATTTTCCTCCTCAATAATCACGAAAAAACGCCACCGGTAAAATTAAAATGTAGGAAGAAGAGAAGATAAACTGAATGCACCAGTAAAAAATGAATACAGAGAAAAAAGAGAAAAAAAAAAAGTCCAGTGAAAAACGTAAGTGAAAAACTTTAGGATTAAAAAATACCAGCGATCCGTGCACAAGTCATTAATTCTGGAGGCGTGGAAAATCGTTGGCAGTTGGAAATATATCCCCTCACCTCCTCGTCGACAACCGTAAACGCATATTACCACGAATCCATACACAAACACATTGAAAACCCCTTAACACCTTTTTCCACCTTCACTTATTCATTCCCAGCACGTGGAATGAAGCCATAACCTGGGCTTGTACATGCACCTATAGGACGTACAGTTTATGAGAGTTGGCTTGGGATGAATGTACTTCCACAGTGATAAATTTTTGGCCTTCGATAAAGGTCCGTGTCAATGTGGGCCTACGTGTCGGAGAAATCGGGGGAAAAAGAATTTTACTGGACATTCA